GATTGGATCCACCTCGTCATCTCCAGCCCGATCCTGGCCTGCATATTTATACCTGCCTCTGGATATTTCCACTACATGCATCTGACAAAGTGGGTCTTTGCCCACGAAAGCTTATGCTCCTACACTTCAGTTAGTCTATAAGGTGCCACAGGACTCCTCGTCACTTTTTAAGGGGTCATGTGCCTTGACATTTCTCATTCTTTTCACATCCGAACTCACATTCCTGATGTTTGTCTCCTTGCGCTGCACACAATTTTCTTTTAAACATCTGTACTGCCACTCTGATTTCCTCAGCAATGATCCAAGCCCTTTCTTTGTGATAATTATTATTGCCTCATAAAGCAGCGGCTGCATTATATTACTGGCTAATTAATGTCCTCTTATTGTAAGAAGTGTTGCTGCCATCTTCAAACCCCCATAGGCATTTTTTTCTTATGTGCAACTTAACCAGATGGTGTGCTGGCCAACCTTCTCTCACCCTTTACATGTACTTTACTCAGATAACACATATTACAGTTCTGGACACACGATGCCATTATAGCTGGCTAGATGTTAGACAAGTTGCTATTACTCTCTCTAAGGCACTGAAGATGAAAGAGTCTGGTTTTGAGGTTCTTTCATCCAGTGTACCTCTGACCTCTACCAAGACTGGTTACAGCTCACATCTTCCCTTTTCAACACTGCCTTTTTTTCTGACCTGCATTAGCTAATAAAGAAGGGGTGGCCAAACCATGGCTCGGCTCTCTTACAGAGAAAGAACAGTTCACAACGCCCCTCATGCCCCTCCTCCATTCTCCAACTACTACAGAGGAGCTCAGGGTGCCTGCCTTATGGCGGACCTAGGGGCTTCTGCTTTGCAGGGGGAGGAGGAAGTCTCAGAGCTTCAGCCCCATGGGAGGCACTTGTCGGGACTTGAATAGCAATTACTTTCATGAGACTGCTTATGTGCTTAAAATGAAGCTCCTAATTATGTGCTTCAACCAGACCAGTGTTCAACACACACTATAGGGTCAAGCCCCCCATGGGAAAGCATTTCTCCAGCTCCACTCTCTCAGTGGAACGTAGAGCTAATTCATTCCAAAAATCCATTTTCCAATGTAACAACAGGAAGAATTTCACCAATACAGAATACAACTACCCACAGAGAAAATCTACAGAATACAAGGGATATCTCCTGTCTTATATGAAGTTCCATCAAATCTTAATAGCTACAAGTGATAAGAGATTATGTCACATCCCAACAGCAATGTGTACAACACCTACAACTTCACAGCACGATATCCCTTAGCACCATACTAGGACATTGGTCTAGCACTCACTCTGGAAGAGGAAAGAGTTTCTGAGTACTCTGGTTTTCCTTGGAGGTATCTTTTTCAAGCACTGATCTGAGCAGACCTGTCTTAGTTCATGAGAGCAGACTAGCCAGAAGTAGTATGGCTGACGGCTGTTTGGAGTGTCCAGGGAATAAATATATACCGCCCTTTAAAATGCTGTCAGCCTTTCTGAAAATGCAGGGACCGTTGAAAAGACAAGGTATGTAAACAAAGAGATGCCTTAAATCACTCAAATCTGAATAAAAAGATCTATAGAGAATCTGAAAATAATTACAGTGCTTGGCACAAATCCTACTCTTAAGCCCTGGGAGGGAGGGGAAAGAGATTTGATTTTAATGATTCCTAGGCATGGGGTCTTGGTTAGAGAAAATTAATTACTCTTTTGTTTTTAATTAAGTGAGTTTCATGTGAGTTTATTTTCAGATGGCATCTGATTAAAGATATTTCACATTTTTTCCTTGCTCCCTTCCCCTTTTCTCCCTACCCTGAGATATGGAAGAACTGTCTGTGGCCAATGGTTAGGAGTAGAAAGTACTTATCGCTAAAACCTTAGCATGGCATCCAGGAGTCGTGCTCATTTTGTAGCTGGTGAACATAGACCCAGAGAGTTTAAGACCAAAATTGTCAAATGTGACCACTCATTTGGGAGTCCTGCAGACAACCGTCATCCTTCACTACACAATCCTGATTTTCTCCTTAGAGCAACTCTATCCTGTACAACAGTAATGTAGCCCATGCAGCTTGCAGTCCATTGCGGTTCTATTTGTGGCCTGCGAGACATTTTGTTTACTGTTGCCCACACATAGGGTTGCCAAATTCTGCTGGTTTCCATTTGTGTTTTTCCTACAGGTATTACTAAAGTGACACGCATGTAAAGCAAGAACACATGGAGTGAGGGGTGTGCTGATTGCACACAACATTGCCTGTAAGAGCCATGAGCTTTCTCTGCATCTAATCAAAGCACTGCTATGGTTCATTCAGCACACCGTGCAAATTCAAGATATGCAAGCGCAGTTTGCAAAACCACCCTGTCCTGGGAGACTATCTTGGTTATAATGATCTTGCAGCCCACTAAGATGAAGCAGGGCTACTCATTCAGCACACTCACTAGTGTACGTTGCCAGTTGTGGCTGTTCACTGAATAAAGCAGGGAAGAATTATATGTGACTGTGATGGGGCATCTGCCCCACACTGGCTCTTTAAAGGTTAAAATTGAGCCCTGGGAGAGGGCTGGAGTAGTGGAGCCAGCAGCTGTGGCAGATACAGCAAATTAGGGTCCAACTGGCAGCAGTATAAATAAAGGCTCATGAAGAGGAGAGACACAGACACACTCTTGCTCTAGTAGGGGAGCAGGGGGGATCTAGCTGCCAGGTTTTCATCCTCTTCCTCCCCACATCCTATTTCTATGCTATTTATTTGACAACTAGATCCCTTAAACTCCATTCATCTGAAAAAGTGGGTTGGTCCCACGAAAGCTTGTGATACCATCTACATTCTTTGTTAGTCTGGCTACGTCTAGACTGTAAGCTCCTTTCAGAAGAAGCATCCACACAGCAAACACGCAATGAAAAAGTGATCTGCTTTTTCGAAAGATAGTGTCCACACTGATTGGACGCTATCTCGCATTTAAGTTGTGATTAGTATGGACGGAGTGGCCACCAGGGCACCTGTGTTATTTCCTGGAGGCCTCTTCTTCCATAAGAACTCCCTCTTCTGTGTCCACACACACCTTTTTCCGAACAGGCTTTTTTGGAAAAAGGTTTCTTCCTTGTAGAAAGAGGCTTACCGCCGTCGGAAAAACCCCTCCATTCTTTCGACTGTCTGTCGAAAGAACTCAATGGCAGTGTGGACGCAAGTATTGTTTTTCTGAAAAAATGGCCATTTTTCTGGGAAAATGCTGCAGTGTAGACGCACCTTCTCTAAGTTGTTGCTAGACTATTCATTGTTTTTTAAGTTTTTCCAGTTACAGATTAACTCAGCTACCCCTTGAAGCTTTTTAAAATCAATCTAATTTTTTTCCACTGCACATGTCCCCAGTTTAAGGCCCTATAGTCTGGCCTAGGGAAAGCTGCATGCTCTCCCAAGCTAATTAGGTTTCCCTCTGCAATATTTACAGTCCAGGCCTGGCCTTTGGGAAAGGCAAGCAAGGCAGTTGCCTTGGGCCCTGCACATTCAGGGCCCCGTGCTGCCCAGCTCCTGTCCACCCGGCCGCTCACTCGCTTCCCTGACTGGGAGCCGCCCGGACATGCGGCTCAGCCAACCACAGCATGCTGCCTTGGGCCCCGCAAACTCCTTGGTCCAGCCTCTCACAGTCCCTACTATCCCAGGGAGCACAAAAATCAAGAACTAACCCAAAATCTTCCCCATAATAAGAAAGAGTACTAAGCAATAGCCACTGTGCTCATCCCTTTTCACATTTCCATATATAACTGTTCTAAGGCACAGGAACTAACTAAAATTCAGGTTATCACAAGGCCTGTGTGATTTGTATATGTAATTGCTTTTTTCTCAGACCGGCCTGGCCTTTGGCGGTTACTGAAAATGTAAAGGAGAACTGATGTAACGCAATCTAAACCAGCTACTATAGTAAAAAGCTGAAATTTTCACAACCAGCAAGGGAATTCAATAATGTTCCTATTTATGTTTCAATGGCAGTTATAGGCCTAAATCCCTTCATTAATATTGGAAAATCTCAACCCACAGGAACCAGCAGCTGGGCTTCTTTTTCTGCAAAAGGTGGTAGGGATGATGAAAGATACACGCAAATGCAAGCACACACCTAAAGGCACATCAGCACTGCAGGACAAAAGTTGTATTACACTACGCAACTTCAGCTATGTGAATTGCGTAGCTGAAGTTGAAATCGCTTAATCCAGCTTTTGGCGCTGTCTACAAAGCAGGAAGTCAAAGGAAGAACACTTTTCTGTTGACTTCCCTTACTCCTTGTGAAATGAGGGTTACAGAAGTCAGAGTAAGAAGTCTACCAGCTCAACATTATTTTGAAATAACAGTTTGCTGTGTAGACACACACTTTGTTATTTCAAAATAATGCTGCAGTATAGATGTGCCCTAAGTTTGGAGTGTAGCCTAAAGAATCATCTTACTGACCCACCCCAGTCTCTGTAAACTGTCCCTGAACATCATGATGCGATCACAGTGGATGGAATGTTACACCATGGAAGGGAGACAGCAAAAGTTGCCTAAGAGATCAGCCTCAAAGAGCTAATCTTGGATTGGATCCTTTGGGAGCTGTGGGCTCAAAGTGACTATGGACTTGGGGTGCCTCCATTTTGGGGTGATCAACTTGGGATAGCTTAAAAGGGGTCTGTTTTCAGAGGCTGAACATTCAGCTTGTTCTAAAAACCAGGATCTTTTACTGTGCCTCCAGTTTCTCAGACAAAATGTAGGGTTTCCAAACCACTGCTCACTTTTGGAAATCTGGGTCTATGTTTTCAAACGACCGGGAGACTGAAAGCTGGAGAAAGAAAGGAAAGGAAACAGAGAGAGATAGAGGGCAAAGCAGAAGGGAGACATAGAAAAAAGAGAAGGAAAGATTCTATTTCCTCCTGTCATTGTTACCCACTACATTTTAAAAGACCAACTAACAGTTGTCAGTTGTGATGGGGGCGGTGCAGCATCAAGCAGAGAAATGCAGAGGGCTCTTACTGCAGCATGTGTGTCTGGCTGGCGTCCTTTTGTTTGTCAGGTACCTCGTAGTGTGGGGAAATCTTGCCGAGGCCGCTGTCACTTAGCATCCGCTTTCGGACTGCAGGGTTCCATCGATCTGATATTCTAAAAACACAAGGAGGAAAGAGAACAAAATTAATTCCTCAGAGGCCGCTTTTCACTCTTGTTTGAAGCCCCCTTACACTCATTCATTTGCAGCCCTCTTCAAGCTGGATGGGCCCTAAATAGCCCCTTGGGAGAAGAGAGTGGGTGAAGGAGGTTAATTCAGTGTAAGCATATGTTGGTCTATCCAGAAGACAAGGAGAAATATGGACACTTTATTGTAATTCCTGGGTTCACAGCTCAATTTAAGACCCCATTCACTAGTGTGTGAATGTAAGCCCCACAGAGAGTTTGTAATGTGATCAATGGATCCGTTTACCCAACTCCTTACTTTAATATCTTACTTGAATATTCTCTTCCTACTATCAAAGTTTGGTAAGGGGAAGTGCCCACCCCCTGGAAAACCCTTCCCAGACTGGGAAGGGAAGTGCTTACCCAGAGGCCTGCTCCACTACCAGTACCAGATCGGGCATTCCGGGAGGTGTCCCCACCTGCTGGGCTATCACCAGCTCTGGGTCCAGGATAAAAATCTCGTCCTGCGAAATTTCAGTCACAAAGTGCAAATGTTCCTGTTAGAACGAGATACAGAGTCAAAAATGAATCATTGTCCATCTGCCAGGAGGCCAAACTGTCTGTCAGAAAGGCATAAGAAGAATGACCCTTCCTGAAGGGTACCAGTTGGAATCTTCCAGTAGATAGAAACAACCTCATACTTTTCTCTTCCAACTCTCAAGGTTCAATCCTGGCACCACTGAAGGCAACAAAAAATCTTTTGTTGACTTCACTGGACTTCAGATTTCCCCATCAGTCTGCAGCAAGTATCAACTCCATAACAAGGCTTACATTGCTGGTTCCATCTCTTCTCCACTGGTCTCTGTTCTATGTTCTGCCAACACCTAAGCAACACCTCAGTGGAAACATGATGGATCTTCACTTTCGTTCCCAAAGAGACAAGGGGAAGACGGGAAATAGCAAACCCATGGGCATTTATAGTAATATAATGAAAGCTGTGCAAAACCTGGAGCAGGGTGGGGAACCTAAGGCCTGGGAGCTGGGTGCAGCCCCCAGCTTGCCTGGATCCAGCCCCAAGACTCAGGGTTCTCCCCCAGCATTGGGGAGCCAGTGCTGGCACTTCAGCCTCCCCGCCATCCACCCATTGAGCTGGAGCACACAGAATCTACTAGCCTGGGCCTCATTAGGCTACATCTACACTGCAAGGTTATTTTGGGATACCACAGTATCCCGAAATAGCTATCCCACATCTTAACAGCAAGCCTCTTATTTCAGGCTCGCTATTCTGACATTTCTGTAAACCTCATTCTACGAGGACTAAGGGACATTTTCGAATAGCAGGTTATTTTGAAATTTGGTGCTGTATAGGCAGCGCCAAATTACAGAATAAGCTATTTCAAAATAAGATACAGTTTGCGTAGCTCAAATCGCGTATCTTATTTTTAACTACAGTGCAGTGTAGACGTAGCCCTAGGCCAGTGGTCACCAACCAGTAGTTCGGGATCTACTGGTAGATCTTGGGACCTTTGACAGGTGATCATGACAGGTTTATCCAGGAGGCTATTCAGTGCCAGCACTTCATCTGCCCTGTAAGCACTGCTATGTTGCTCCTGTCGTCTACTTTGGAGGTGCTCCCCACCCTCAGGAGCCTCCTGCTTGCTGTGCAGGGCACAGGAAGAAGGGGCACTGATGTTAGGGTGCCCCTTACCCTCCCTGTACCCCATCTCCACAGAGCAGAGGAGAGCAGGGATGGAGAGAGTTTGCTGACTGCTTTTGGGAGTAGTGCATGGCCAGGGTAAGAGTGAGTCTGTCTTAGCCCCCTGCACCACCACCCAGAAGTCACCTGTGGACCCTGCATTTTGAACCCTGGCCCCAGTCTTGAACCCCTCCTGCATCCCAAACTCCCTCCCAGAGCCAGCACCCTGAATCCCCTCCTGCACCTCAACTCCCTGCCCCAGCCTTAGCCTAGAACCCCTCCCACGCTCCAAATCCTTTAGCCCAAGATCAGTGTCTGTATCCCCTTCCCTACCCTCTACCCCCACACTGATAAAAGTGAGTGAAGATGGGGAAGGGAGGGAGGATGGAGTGAGCGGGAGCAGGGCCTTGGAGAAGAGGAGGGAAGGAGGCAGGGCAAGGTTGTTTGGGTTTGAAGTAGATCCTGCATTGCACTTACATTCAAAAAGTGATCTCATGCTTAAAAAGGTTGGAGACCACTGCTCTAGGGAATGTGGGGAATGTCTTTTCTCTGTCAGGGGCCATGTCAGTGAGGGGGGGCGGTTTGCTTCTCACTTGTGTACAAGCCCCTGACTGATTTTGATGCTGAGCCCCTGACTCTAAAAAGGTTCCTCACTCCTGCTCTAGAGCAGTGGTCCCCAACCTTTTCAGGTTGGCGGGCGCCAGGGGGCGGGGACACTTGCCCGCCCGGGGCCGGCTCCTCCCCCCCCATAGCCACGCGCCCGGGGCCGGCTC